GTCCCTCTCGCCCAGGTGCCGGTGGCCGCCATGAGCAGCGGGAGCCGGGCCCGCGGCAGGAGGAGGGCAGCCCGCCCTAGCCCGCCTTATCCCGCCAGCTCTGAGGGCGAGGAGCCCCTCAGTTCCTCCACATGCTCCCCGCTCTCCCCCACTTCCCGGCACAGCTCCCGCAGCTGCGAGGAGGAGGAAGAGGAGGAGGGGGAAGCGGCCTCCCAAAGCCAAAAAGGCAATAGGTAACCTGTGTGTCTGGGCCCTGGCTAGAGGAGGAAGCTCAGGGCTGTGTCTTGAGAGAGGACTGAGCCTCTGGCGTGCTCAGCTCCTGTCTTTGGCTGAGGCCTTTGTTATATGTAGCAGATTTATGCACATAAGTATGGATTTATTTGCCTAGATAAGCGCCTTAGGACACTGGGCAATTCCTTTTGTTTTTTACTCTATCTCTGGAAGTCACAGGTCATTGCAGTACCCTCTCTGAGCAGTTGGTTATTTCTGTAGGGTCGTTAAAAGGGCTGTAGATTATTTGTGGCTGTTGCCCTGAGCCTCAGGGTCTTTGCGTGCTGAAAAGGCACAGCTGTGCTAGCCTGCCTTTTAAGAGTACTGAGAGACTGAAGGGCTGCGTTGCCCCAGCATATACAACTACATCCACAGTCAGTTTGGCTTGTGTGAATTGCATCGTTCTTGTTCCCTTGGCCTTATTTCATTCCCTTTTATATATATGCAAACTTTGTATGTTTTCTTTCCCTCGAGCTTTCCTGTGTTTGACGTAATAATCCTTTTTTCTCCCTTGGAAAATGGAAGGGGGAAGAGCTGGGAATGCTAGGTCTATGCAGTAGTTGATAATGGATGTGTATAGTAAGTCTGAACTGAGCTAAACGAGTTAGTGGGGAAAGGGAAGGTTGATCTCCTCTGGGATGGAGGAGTCCACTGTGGACTTCTCTAACTCTGGTGGATAGCAGTGCATACTTCCCAGTTAGGAGGACAGGAACCATGCTGAACTTTTCTTACAAGCATTCATCTTCTCATAATGCACTTCTTGAAAGATTTCTCACCTGTTTTCAGTGTAAGGTGATAAAAGTCCAGGAAAACCATTCAGACATGCTCAGAAGTTGCAGCAACAGAAAGAAAAGGAACTTGGCCTGTTTATTGTCTTTCATATTTCAGATTTTCTGCTGCTTATCCTTTCACCTCTTCCCAATGAGCAGTTTTGTTCACAAACCTTTCAGTTCTGTAGCACTCAAGTCAAACTACTACTTATCTTTGCGGCTTGAGCTGCTATTGGAAACAGCTCTCAAATTCTGGGCCTGTTGCTACAGTAGCCCCTGCAACTGTAAGATGTAAGGGAAGACCTGTGTTGGGGCCTGAGCTGGAAGAAGCTCATTAAACTCTGGGCACACTGCGTACTACGCTTATACATACGTTGCATCTGAATAATATTGCTGCTATGTTGTAGTAAATATCTACCAAATGTTCATATAGTAGCTTCCGTGTATAACTGCCAAACTCTGAAAGGGATAATAATAAAAAACATTTCTTACACAGTCACTTCCCCCCACCCCCACACACTCAAAGACTCATGTTGTTGTTGTCCTCTTAAAAACTATGCAAAAATTAGCCAGAGGCAGATATTTAATGTGGGAAATGTAATGTTCACAGAAGAGAAAAGCTGAAAACAAAATGTTATGAAATGGTGTTAGGCATTTTCATACTTTCAGTATGGATTGGTATTACGTCTGATGGCTTGACTTCAATGGGTAGATGGTAAAGAATAATCACAGTGTTTTCTGTTAATCAGACGTCAGTTCTAATGCCAAACGTATACAGTTTGATTTAAGATACTTATTTAAATACACATATATGTTTGAGGAAAATAATGCTTTAAGAAGTCTGCTATTTTAATTACTCTGAGGAAAGACATAGCTGTGAATATGCTACTGTTTCAGAAAATGGTCCTGTGAAATTCAAGTTCCGTGTTCTTTAAAATACAGGCACAATCGTGTGCCAGGGAGAGTAAGACTGGCAGTTCGGAGTCACACTTAGAAGGATTGGGTTCCAGTCCTTGCTCCAGTGATACCTGAGAATTTCAGACAGAGCACGATGCTGCAGAAGAGGAAAAGCGTTTTCACTACTAAGACTGCACTTTTACCTAACGTTTCTACATATTCAGCTTGTGTTTTCCTCTGTTTAATCTTCACTTTTTATTATTTCTTACTGGTAGTTAATAAGCTTTTCATTTACCACTCTGAATAATTTTTTTTAGCGAAGTCAACAGCTTAAACTTTATAAATGTTTATAACTATTGATCTCGGAAAACGCATACTGAGTATTATTTTTCTTAATTCATTCCTTCTACTAGTACTTTTTCTCAAATTGATGTAACATGTCAGCATTATTCTGGTACCAGGAGCCATAATGCAAATTGTGCATAGCAAAAGAATGCATTGAGGAAGTATCCCTGCCCAAAATGTCAAGTCTGGACAAATTTGCATTAGTTTCCTGAATTTGAATGCATAACGCTTTTATCCTTATCTTTGATAAACTTTCAGAGAGTTATTTTCCAACAAAAGGTATTGTTATGTGTTCTTCAGTCACATCCCGTATTATTATATCTATGTGTTTAAAAACTGTCACTGTTAAATTTTTTTGGTCTTTGTTAGTGCTTTAGCATACAAGACCTAGACTGCGGCAGGTGGTGGTGGACATCGTTGGGCTTGGGAGCACGTGGCCTGTGCTGCTTTTGTCCATTCATTTATTTTTTGTGTGAAGGTGTTCTGTCAGTTCCGGTGTGCTAGCACGTGTCTGTGGCACCACAGTAGAAAGAGGGTCAGAGACTGATTCCATGTGGAAAACAGCCCCTTCTCAGGTTAGTTTCAACCTGGATCTGTTCCACTGGGCCTTTTATAGCACAACCAGTGAGTGGTCTTGTTAGCACATACACGTGGATAAGAACAATGGAGCAGAGCAGGACAAAACTCCTTAATATTGACAGTGTCTGTAAATGCTTTTTATCACAGAAATATATTCTTAAGGTTATTGGGACATAAAATATTTTGCTATAGCAAACCGTTGTTCCTTGCGAACACTTACCAGTTTTTACATTGAAAAAAAAAAAACTGGTATCTTACACTTAAAGGTTCATTTCAGGTATATTAACATATGTGTTTGGATGCCTCTTTTGTAGCTTGGATTAAGCAAAGAGGGTTACTGACGGTAATGAAGTACGTAGATAGGTACTTCCAGAGCCCAAATATTCATATAAAATACTAACGTGCAGTCGAGTTTCATTTTTTGTTTAGTTGTTAAGAAAAACTTCTGTGTAAGCTAGAAGAAAGCTTATAAAGAAATCTATTGGCATATTTTCAATTTTGGTTGACTTAGAGCCTAATATACATTTTTACTTATGACGTAGTATGTGTACAGAACATTGTAAAAGATTTTTTTTTGGCCTGGAGCTAGGACTGCTGCATTATTCATGAGTAGAGAAGTTGTGAGCGAGTTATGCAAGGTATCCTATTAAAATAGAACCTAATAGAACCTTAAATAATACCATCAAGTAGTGTGAGCAAGCCATATTTCTGAAGTATATTCCCTCTGAAAGTTTTTTAGGGAGGCAGATGTTAACTGTTCGTTAAGGGGGTTGTATTCTCAATACCAAGGTGGTTTGATGTCATAAATCCAACTGTCTAAGACTTGAAAGAAGGAAAAAGTAATCTTGATCATCTTTTGCTCATGCAGAAGGTCACGAGATACATTGAGCCTCTCGGTGACCAAGGATAAGATATTAACGTTAAATTTCTGACAAGAGAGAAGGAAGGTGACACTGATGTTTCTGGTATTAGTTTTTGTTTAGTTTCTAAAAGGTAATGCTTGAATCTGCTCCGCAGTTTGGAACGGGAAAAGAATCACTAACAAGCTAGAATTTAATAAGCAGAACATAAGGGGAATTGTCAGAGGTGTCATATAAATGACACCCTTTTTATCCCTTTGGGAGATTACTAGACAAGTAGAAAGAAAGAAGTAATTGCTGTCAGAATACATTGTGTAAATCAAATGTCATTTTTCAAGGCAATAGCATTGGCTAATTTTGAAATCGGATTGAGGATAATATTCTTTTACAATTCTCATTTTTAATTTAGAAAGGCCGAAGTCTCTGAAATAATAAGAGGAAGAAATCGGTCACCTTTGAAAGATAATCTTTCACCATGGGAAGAATGGTTCATTTGCAAAGAGAAGGAACTACGTGCCCGTGTACAAGCTAGAGCCCTGGAGGTGAATACTTCTGGTTATTTTCTGTTAGGCTTGACATCAAACAAACAGGCACTAGAATGCACAACTTTTTTCTTTTGACTGTGAGAAACAAATAGTTTTGTTTCATTATTTTAATGTCTTTAGCCATCCATAGTGTTTGTGTTTGGCTGTGCTTAAGTGATACGATACGTGCGTTTTCTTTTGCTAAATGTTATGCTTCATTTAAGAGACACTGTATAATATTTCACTTATCCCGCTGTCAGGTAATGGTTCAGGTTTAAAGGGTTAAAACATATTTATGTAATTGGTACCTTGATTTTCATCACAGGTACGTATGCCTGCATGTAGGTAGTAAAACACAGCAGGGCGTGTGCTGGGTGCAAGCATGCCAGCCTACTTGGTTAGATATGAGACATGATGTTGTTACCCACTTAGGTGTGTAATTATACAACTTTTTATCTTTTCCCAGGATTTAGTGCCCATCCCAGCGTTTCTTTCCCTCCTTCCATCTTTTGTTCACAAAATGAACTATTCTTGAATAGTGGGACTGGGGCAGAATTAAGGGAGAGAGCTGTATCTTTTCTTGATTAATATGTTTGCAGTTGATTAAATGATACTATTGTTTAAAATCAAATTGGAAGTATTGGTAGTGGTTAGAACAATCACATCAAAGTTGGATCATTTCTCACTCTAGTTACTGATTTACCATGTGACCTTGAGCAATGTCCTAACCTTCCTGTGATTCCCTTTATCTGTAAAGTGAATATAACATACAGCTGTTGTAGGTGGGTTACCTCATATTGTTATAAAACACCCACCACTGGAAGGTTCTAGAACAGTGTTTTAGAGGTCAACATAACACCAAAAGTTTGTTAAACTTGAGGAATGTGTTCTGATGTGTTAATATTCACCACACATTTCATGACTTCGTTTAGATTTTAATTTGGTAATTGTCTCTCCCCATTTTGATTTCAAAGTACAAAAATGAGCCAAACTAATTTCTGGTATTGTGTAGGAAATGTGGTTTGTGTATGGACTTCTCATGTGGTCTTAACAAGAAACCAAAGCAGTTTTTTCTTATGTATCACCCAAAAGCATTTATACAGTACCAAATATACTCTAGAAGATGTCTCTCTTAAATATATATTTAAAACAATCATAGGATGATTGCGTTGCTTACAGTCATGGAGAAATCAGTGGAATAGGTAAAAGTTTTTTCAGGTTGTAAGATTTTGAAGATATAATGGAAATATAATTTGAACATAAAATGTAATTTGAATATAAGCTGCTACAATGTAGAAAACTTGGATAGTTTATATTTGGAAAAATACAATCAACTTTTTTTTATAAGATGTCTTTTAAAAGAGGACAGCATATGTCACTGTGATATAAAAATGTATGATTACATTTACATATAAAAAGTGTTCTAAAATAATATCCTAAGAAACAACTGGAAGGTCTCAGATCTCTTGTCAATGAGAGCACTGAGTCTGTCCTAAATGTAGAGAATATGGATAAAGGTTTGGAGTGGATCGTGGGTGGGTCTTCTAAGGTATTTATGGTGTCATCACCATTTACAGAAACCAGGATTCCTGCAATAGAGATGCCCCAGAACTCAAAGCGGGTGTTAGTTGCTTTGGCTTTGCTCAAATACAGCAACAATTATATTCCCAAATGATGACTATATTTTGAATGTTCTCTTTGAACAGTTTATATGACTCAATTTTCCTTGATTTCTTATCAAATCCTATGTTATAGGAAGAGGAGATTGTTGCTGAAACTGGCTGCAGTTTAGAGACCATGAAAATCAGTTTCAGGGAAATAATTCCTTCTGGCTAGTGTTTCAGGATATGAATTCTCATTGACAGAGAATCCCTTCATTCAAGTTCTGCTGTTAGAGAAGCTAGGCATCTCAAATGTTCATCTTACTCACTTTTTTTTCTATTCATTTCCTTGAAGAAATATAAGTGATTGGATGTTTACTGTATGCCCTGTAAAGATGAATTACTTCCCCTCATCCTCAGGTTTGTCCTCTTTCAAAGTTTATTAAAATCCATAAGAACCTTGCTTTTTGAGTTAAGCCATAAAATTCATATAATTCTGATACTGAACATCACATTTGAGTGATGTCACCTAGCTTCTGCTGCCTCCCTGAATGCAGAGAGGTACACCATCTAAATTTAAAGTATTGCAGAAAAGTACTGCCACGGGTTCAAATTTCTTTGACTGAAAGAGCATTTAAATAAGCTGAAGAGTGATTTGTTTTGTTGCATTGTTTCCAAAGACTAATTAAAATACGTATTTCCAGTTCATAGTCTGAAAAATTACCTATGCCCATCAATTGTATTTCATAATATTGCTATGTTACTTGTGCTTCCTTTCCAACATATTAATGAAGGAAAACTTTCAAAATCTTCAATGTTTATGTTGCTTTTACTGCAGTGCTTTTTCCAGTATTGAGTGTATTAGTAGAGGTGATTGCCATGATTTTGAAATGTGTTTTTTTTCTTTAATTTAGGAGAGTAATCTGCAGCTTGAGAAAATGAAAGAAAAGCAAGAATCTGAAAGGAGGAGAAGGATAGCTGAAGAGAAGCACAAGGAATGGGTGCAAAAAAAAAGAGAAGAGGTAAATATTGCTTTGGTTGTAAATATTATAGCACATGCTATGCTTTAGTAGATCTGTATAAAATTTGTTCAGGCCTTTTGGACAACCATGTTTTTACTTTGCTGAATAATGGCTGTTTTCACTGAAAATTATAAAATCACACCAACAGGGTTTAATGTTTTTCCAAGACTGTTCCCCTCCCCCTCCCCTCGCCACAAGGTATCAAGGGATTTGTTTTCTGGATAGTCAGCTGACAACTGACCTACATGTTGTGGAATATTATTCTGCTAATTACACCTGGGGTTCTGGTCTTCAGTACACTACCCTTTCTGACTTCCTAGGTTCAATGCCCAAGCATTCTTGGGAAAGTGTACATCTTAACTGTATGCAATATCTTGTACACCAAGTAGAGCCAGAAGGAGGATTTAGTTAAGTACCATTGTGGACAGGCAAATAACGTGGTAGAGTTTAGAGGGATAATTGAGGTGTGAGGCCAGATTCAGGAAATTCAGTGGGCCACAGATAGCAACTGGGAATTCCTTCATCCAAAATGGCGTTTCTGTTTGGGAGCAATAAATCTTTTAGGCCCTCTTGAGAGGATGCCTAAGACCAAGGTCAGAAGTAGATAGAATCCCTGATCTCAGTGGAGCACTGTGCAGCTCTGTGTCACACAAACAAAGCATGCACTCTGGGTGGCAAAACGGGAAAGTTTAGGAGGCATGATTGCTCGGACCCTGGTAATTCATGGGCATGTGCGTGCATTCATTGTCTTATGGTCTGTAGCAACGCTAGGTACTGTTCCATACTTCTAGTTCTGAAAAATTTGTCAATAAAACCAGATGAAATTGATTGAAAGAAATATATACATCACATTAGCACTAGTTTGGCAAGGGCAGTTTTGATATCCAGACCTCATGCATTTGCCCTCACTGTTTCAGAACTCTATTCATCGTGTTCAATCTAGAACCATTAGAACAACCTGCGTTTGGATCTAAGCTCCTTATTTCTCTTAGCCCCAATGCTGACTGGATAACTGTCATAACCCTCTCCCTCTCGAACAATCCTGCTCTAAACATTTATTATGATGTAGAAAGGATCCTTCCTTATTAAAATACACAGCAAAAAGGAAGAGATTTATTATTCAGCACAAACAATGCCGCTTTTCTCCATTAAAACCCAAATTACAGTTGTCCACCTATTCATTGGCTTGAAAGAGCCTGGGCTGCCTGTTAAAAATGTCTGTTCACTTTGAGTCCAAATTAATGAAAATTCTTGTTCTCTCTTTCTGTCTCTCCCAAGCATCTCCTGTAAACTTCCACTTATTTGGGTCCTCCGTGTAATATCTTTGTGGGTTTACTGATGAGCTTCCTCCTCTCTGTTGTAAATGGGAATAGGAGGTCTTTTTGATGGTAAACACATCAGCCCAGAGAAAAGGGAAAAAAAACATGTTTGTGTCTGGATTTTTATATTTTGGAAGGATAAGGTCATCCTTAGGCCATGGCCCAAGCTTTTACCAAAAGTAATCTGATTTTCATTTAAATCAGATGAATCATTGACTAGTCTTTTTCTGTAAACCACGCACAAATCAAGGATAAGTTGAAGTTAAAAGCTTAGGCGTCTTTAGGATATTAACATTTATGCTGTGTAGATCATACTACTTCAAGTTTCTAGAGGGTTTATTTGTGAATGTGAACACGGACTGAAGGATAAATATGTCAACTCAGTAAGAAGGTGTTTAAAATTGCACAGAGATTTCACATGAAGTTTAAGTTTAGATTCATGAGCACTGGCAGTTGTCATGATTTTCACGGGGAGCATATGTACCTCTGATACTTGGGAAAGCTCACTTTATTTCCCTTTAGAAGCATCAAAAGATGCTCTTTCTTTTAGCAAAACTCACGGTATTCTTCACTGAGTTATGCATTAAGCGTTCATCTCTTTGATAACCACTTACTGATTCTGAGACCCTATATGCAGACTGCACAAAATACAGTAGGTTTTCATTTCGGAAGTGTTGCCTATGAATTCCACAAATATCTGTCCTTCCCCATTGCTTAATGCTGTATTGATAAGAGAGGTAAGGGGTGGGTGAGTGTACATGACACTTCTTCCTTCATCTTGAGCGTGAGGTCTTTGTGCAACTCCAGGAGACATCACTGGACAAAATCACCTTCCCTGGAAGTGAGAGGGCATTTATGCCAGAAGTAAAACATTTGTATATGCACAGAAGAATTCTGCTGTTTTTGCTATAAGACAAGTCATTTTTCTTGCATTTTGTTATATGGCAATATTATTTGTGATGCTCTGCCCATTAAATGTAGTCCTTTGGAGTCAGGTTAGGCAGCAATGTGATGATATGTGATAATAAACTTCTGCTTCTGCTGCATTACTTTTAGATTTATGGATAAAAATGAGTGACTGTAATGGCATGATTATAAATGCTCAGCAAGCAAAATTTTGTTCAGTGTCATGTTTTCTCTATTAGTCTTAATTTGAGAGGGATTTGAATTGTATGCAGGACTGGACATAGATCAGCAAAGCTGTTAGAATCTGTCATAATCTTTCTGGTATGATAAATTCATTGCTTGATTGTTAATTCCTGTATTTAGACTCCAATCTGGTAAGGAGCTCTGTGTAAGCAACTCTTAGTTGAACTGTTGCAGTTTAAAAAGAAAGGAACTGACATCCCTGATCCCCATGTCATCATAGGTCTAAGTCTTGAATAGGTATTGAAAAGTAACAACTATTTCACTTCTTCAGGTCAAAATTGATGTTTATAAAAGCTTATTTTCTCTATGTCTGTTCATTCTGACACTTTTCATATGTGTAAGGTTTGTTTTTCTGAATTTATGTTATATAATGTAAATCTGGTAGCGTTACGTGGAGGAGTAAAGTTGTTTAGAGGTCAAATCCACCTATGTAGGAATAATTTATTTTGGGTTGAAACAGTGTAGTTCTGCAGAACGCTTAGAACTTATTGTGTCATATAAAGACGTTATTAAAATTTAAGTATGAAGATATGTTTTTATGAAGTTAATTTATAATTTAATTTAGTTTTAAGCTAGGATATAGTAGGTATGTAATTATTTAATTGCATTGGCTGCTAAATCAGTTCAAATAGGTAATGATTTTACCAACTTTTTATTTTGTGGCTATTTTAATGTCAGTTGCTGCTTTTGTTTTATATTCCCATATCTATATGTATATATCTGATAGAGAAGTCACTTTCTTGCTTTTTTGTATTAATAAGTAAACTGCTTTTCTACTGTCATCTTTTGTTTATCAGTACAATTTTGAAAGACAGTATTAATATCCTTCTAGTAGTTCTTTATTATCTCATGAAAAACGATATTTTTTCCTTTAGGGGAAAAATGATCTGATTTCTCTGGCAACAAAAGATTCTTCCAAATTCTTCTTTGAAAGCTTATGGTTCATCTGTTCAAGTTCAAGAACTATAGAAGAGGCAGTGATCAGGACTAAACTTACACTTTTAAAATATTGAAACTTAGGTTAAACTTACGAAAATCTCTAAAATATTAGACTGTAAAATATTCAGTGTTAGACTGATTTTGAAAATCCATTTGTATGTAGCTCTTTCTGCCATTGTCTATGTGTTTTTTGTAGTTAGATGTTTTCTTAAAAGTTGATTTTTATTTAGTGTAGCAACGTAGTTGAGTACATTGATACTGTAGATAAGCACTAAATCTGAACAGTTTGTGGAAGCGTTCTGAAGTAATGCTCAGCACTGTTTCATCTATTATGACAGATGAAAAGATAAAATGTTTGAAGGGCCAAGAGAGAACCTGTTATTAGTGGAAAGAAACTGAATTTTTTTATTGGAGATGGAACTGGGAAGTAAAGAATGGCTAGATTTTAACACCAAAAAAAAAAATGGAGGATACCCTCCCACTCTATCATTTCATTTCTGTCATGTCTTTATGCTTACTCTGTAGACTATGAAGGGATTGGTTAACTTCTGTTGTTGTTTTCCATCACTGGTTAAAAAAAATCTGCATCTTGGAATGACTGGGATTGAGCCTACACATGTGATATATTTTGAAAATTTCTGCTTAGTGGCTTCTTTATGACTTGTGTATTGTCAATGTATTCTTGCTTGCCAAACGGAAGCTATAGTTTTGTGACTGTTTGACTTACCAGGCTGTAGATGGTGCCTAGACAATTTACAGACTTGCCTAGACTGTTTACAGATAACAGTTAAAGGTAGAAGATAAAAAATGCTGCTTACATGTCTTCAAAATGTTTAGGAATCCCTTCTCTGGTTCCTTCCAAGGATTTTTCGCTCTTATATTCATCCATGAGGATTTAGTTATGGTTACAAAACTGTGAGTGCATATAAAATGTGCAACAAAAATGGGATAGGTGTCATCATAGATGTTCAGAGCTAATCACTCACTCATGCTTTCTTTCATAGTATTCCCTTTGAAGACCACATCTATTCAGAATTTATCCAAAAGGATTCAATTACAAGTTTCTTCACAGTGTGACTAGACACTGGTTCTGCTGCATGATAACTTACTTTGTTCTGTTCAGTGGAAGCTTCTTGGAGATGTTAGTGAAAAGCTTCTCTCTTTTAGAAAGTATGTAAGCTGCTGTCTGAAGCCAGTTTGCACATTTACCCTCATTACTGTTGAATTAATTAAAGACGCACTTAGCCTTCTTCCAGGATTTATTATTACCACCTCATCTCCCAAGAATGAGGAGCAGCATGGAGAATTGCTTGCTAGAATTTGGTTTATAAAACCTTCGTCTTTTCTAGCCTCCTTTTCTTCTTTCTGTGTCCTCTTAGTGATATTTCTGAAAGGGATTGAGGATGGTTTTGATGGTGAATTATTACATAGTGTCATATTAAACATTCTTATCTTTGAAGCAGGGGTACAGCCCTTGTGTTTACAGCTTGTAAACATAATTTGGGTTGAAGGCTTGCCAACTATCAAGAACGCTATGTTTCCAAGCACTCTCTATGAAGAACCACAGTTACATCCTTTCTATTGTTTTGCCTT